GTAGAATAGGAAAACCATTAAAACTGTAGGTTCGTTCGGTTTCGATCCGTTTTCGATTCGATTTAAACAAAATTTATTAAGTAGAATTGGCCACCTGTACCACTGTTCCTTAAACCAGAGTAGATCTCAAACTTAACTTTTATATTCACATCAAATCTTCAAAAAATCTTTAAACAAATCTTAAACTTAATATTTCTAAGTTAGACATTGACACTCGTATCGTTATAAGTAGTCAAGTAGACACAATTGTTTGAGTGTATGTAATACAACAAAAAACTTATGCAAATATTTTTAATCAAATAAATAAGCATAGAAATGGAGTAATAACTCTCAAAAGTTAGTAAAACCATTATTATTAAGTAGGTACTTACTTACAATTCTTACTTAATTGATATTCTCAATATTGATTTGCTTACGGTATTAATTAACTTCAGTATAGAATTTTTTTATTAAGACAAAAAATCCTATACTGAAGTATATTTATTACTACTTTCTTCTCGATTATACATATGTAGAATGTTATGTTATTAAATAGATATGAGACTGGGAATTGTTAGCATCCAAAAATAATTACAGCACGCAGCCTACCTGTTGCTTTTCTAATCACGTGGGTGCGTGGGAGTAATCTCCGCGGCCCGTGATTACGACCACTCTCCCAACTACCCAGGAACACATGCCGATGCCGGAGATCCGGCCGTGAACGGAATTTTGCGCCCGCGCATCTGTCCGTTGTTCCCACACCCAGTTCCGTCTTTTACTAAGGGCACTCGGAGCATCGTGTACTGGAAAAAAGTGTTCTATTTTTTTTTATATATTTTAGGAGGATCAATAAAGATACAAGAATCACATTTTACGTGGACTTCGACGAGATAATCTCTTAAAAGTGACTTAAACGTGGAGTTCATATGTTTTATTGTTCCGTACCTAAGAATATTCCGCAGTGTTACTGACCTATTTATTTACACTCTTGAGAAAATGTCATAACTTAAGCTGATATTTTTACCAAATAAACAAGAATTTGAATAAAGTAAGAACTGTTAATCGACAGAATATTAGTATTATTATCTATTAACAGTTGTTAGTTCATTCAAATTCTTTAGTATCGGTACAAAATATTTTTACTTCAAGTAATTACTTCTCTCGACTATAAAATAGATACGAGTGTAAACCTCTTCGGAGACAAGACCCGACGCCCGAGTATCTTTAATCATTTACCAATCTGTCTCACATTCCTCTATTTTCTTTTGAAGTTTCCTATTTTCCAGAAAAAAAACATGACGTGCGCACTTTTGCCCCACATGTGTATGTACTTGTTTTTCTACACTAATTAAAAAATATATATAAACATTTTCTTCCGCATTTAATAAACTAGATAGATTTTAAAAATCCTTTAATAATAAGTTGAATGCTAAAAGTAGGTCGGTATCTAAAAATGATTTTTTCACCGAAGTTGTGGGCAATTTAGAACTAATCATAAATTTGTCTTTACTTATTTGTACAAGTTTAATTTTATTTATATATTCATTGTATTTATGTTAATAAATAACCGCAAATGTATAGTAGGCGTGAGGTCGCACGAAATAAAGCCTCGCTCGACCAACAGGTGGCAGCAGATATCTAGTTCCCACACTGCACAATAGAGTTTTTTTTTTCTTCTTGAACACAAGTGGCATCAGTTCGCTCTCACAGAACATGATGAAAAAAACTAATGAGAACGGCAGCAGTGATAGTATCGTAGAATTAATAGCGATATCAGTTAGGTTTTCGAATATATCGTAGGCGCCCTAAGCAAGAGCTTCATCGGAATGTCACACCTCGTGTCACAACATACGAATACAAAAAAAATATACTTTTTCTCACTTCACGCCGCTTGCCTAGCTACTCATATCTGCCTATTAATGATACTTACGGTGAGCTCAAACGTTCATTAAGGTTTAATGACTCCTTTAAGCTCTAATGAATGTCAAAATTGTATGGGTAATGTCACTTTAAATTAATGAAAGATTTATTGGACGTTTCTGCAACTAGCTGTTAGATCCACAGATTTCTAATATTATAATAAATCTACGATTACAGCTTTCTTTCATTTGTCGTGCTTTGTTTGTTTTTTTTTTATAGTTGTTTGTACGACCGTTTAGTTGTATACAGATATGCTATGTATACAATTGTTTATGTTTTTCCATCCAATGTCAGGTTGCCTGGAAGAAATCGCTAGCTAACGAGGCCGCCTATTGTACGTTAGTTGTTTAAAAGCTTTATGTATATCCATGTTATTTTCTTACAATGTTATTATAATAAACAAGGTTTAGATTTGGGAGTAAATTTACGCTGTGACTGCACTTAGTATTAATCGAAATTCATATTACGAGTATTAAACAGGTTAGCCTAGTACGAGAGTAATATTTACTCCTAGAAAGTAGTAGGTTTACTTATTCTCTGTATAATAAGAATTTGCACAAATACCAAAATTGCAAATTTTAGCGTAAATTAACTCTGACGCTAAACCTTGTTTATTAATTTACTTACAATAAGGTCATTTCGATTATTTCTCAAAGAGAAATAAATAATATAAATTCGCAAATTGATATAATTTTTTAAATCATTAGCCAAAAGCTTTGTTTTGACTTTTTGAAATTTTGATTTAAATGATGCTATAATTATATTTTTATTTATTAACTAGATATTAAAATATATGCATAGATACTTGACCTTGCCATTGCCTTACTAAGAAAAATACTAGTGTCAAAATATTTGCCATTGCCTGATAAATACATTCCTTTTCAGATATATCGTAATTGTAAAAAATAATCTACGAGAGAGATTGTGGAGCTGACTTCTGTACCGGATGACTCAGAGTCTGAAGTTGATATAGCTAATAACGATTGAAATGATGAACTTGACTACTCACTCCAGATATTGATCCGCTTTTATTGACATCTGCGTAAGCACTCATCAGCGGCAACAGTAATACATTATGTCTGAAGATATCAACTGTCAAACTATTAAGATTCATGAGATACAGGCTGGTGACAACAAAAAAAAATAATTTTATTGAATGGAAGCCCCCTTAAATAATTTTTTTCTGGTTATTACTATTTATTGTTGAAGCGGCAACATAAATAAATCATCTATAAAAAAATTCACAGGTCATTAAATACAGTCTGGTGACAGACAGACAGACAAACATCCAGCGAAGTAATATGGTTCCCGTTTTACCCTTTTAGTCCGGAATAGTCTTAGTAATAGGGTTCCCGTTTTATCCTTTTAGCCCGGAACCGTAAAAAGGCCACTCTATTATAGCCACCGATTGCAGAAAAAATACTGCTCGTTTAGAAGCCTCTTTATACACACACGCCGCAACACGGGTTAACACAGTTGATATACGCCACAGTTGATATCGAACTCTATCCTTAATTAATTAAGTTTTAAAGACAATTGAAATAGAAGCTGACGTGCTGTTGACTGTACACAAGCTACTGATGTAACCACAGATCGAGACAGCGAAAACAATGCCAGTTCTTTCATCGAAAACAAAACAGCTAATGATATAGGAAAACTTCCTTGTTGGCAGAAAATGGCTTTTATATAACCCACCGCACATTATAGGACCTACTGTCTGTCAATAAGCATCTATTGCTTACATATAGCAGTTTCGTGAATACTTTGTTGAATATATAAAAAAAAAAAACTTTTTGTGAAGATCACATCTTGAAAATTAAGTATACATACTTTAACCCTTAATTTATTGAAATAAGAAAATTTATTTCAAATAGTTCACATACTTATATTGTGCTGCTGTAAAGGTTAAGCCAAAAATGGATGAAGTAAGAGGCACAATTTTATAATAATAGTTTAGTTAGAACTATCCCAGATACTAATCCTGGATAGTTTTTAGGCAACGTTCAAGTACGTTCTTGCATTTTAAAATTAGTCTTTAAACGTTAATTTTAAACTTAAATACCAACTGCATCGGCAGTCGTTAAAAGCCACCGTAATGGACCCTGGGTTAAGGTCCATTCTTCCTTTTCTTAAAAAAATATTCTAATCCATCTATAGGGAAGACCTGGTACGCCGGCAGTGTGTACTTTCAAAAGGCTGAAGCTGTTATTGGAGCCCTCCTTACCTACGCTACTCTGTATCCTACGTCGAGTCTTCGTGATTCACCAGTGCTGCAGATCGAAGCTGACGTCGGGTTTACCCTTGCCAGCCGCTGGCAAGCCGCGAACTCGACCCTAAATCCCCTAATTCCACTTTAAAGCTAAGTCCTCTTAATTCAAGATACAAGAACCATAGCGAGCGAATCTGTACCTACTCCCTGAGAAATAAAATAAAGTTTGTTGAAACATTATTTTGTTTTTTGCTTTTTACCTGAAGCCCTGGGGGGGTGCTTCTCACCCCCCATCTACAATACAACACTTCAAGGGCTCTCCAACCCTGTCTTGAAAAGGATAGTAAGAAGTTTGAAGCGTGGCCTACCTGGTAAAACCCGCTACGGCATACTCTCGGTCTCTCTCGGATCCAAGGGGCCCGCCGGATCGAACCCCAGAAATTTTAGTCGTGTCCCACTTCTTTTCGATAAGTTTCTTACAATCAAAACACACAACATATTTCTACCTCAATTAGTGTAGTCCACGTAAGCGCAAAGAAGTTGCACGTACTACACCACAGGTTTAAGACATGACTTCGAAGTTGGGTTCTTTCTCAATTGCTCTACTGCGATGGTAGGCGCTTTTCATACATTTTTCCAATTAGCTTGCACAATTGCCTTTTATTAAACGAACATTATTAATTTCATTTATTATTAATTTCAGAGGCTAGTCTCTCATATCTCTTACGAAAACTCAGTCTTATTATAAAATCAGGACTAGCCAATATGTTTAATAAGGTTTTAAGATACCACTTAATCAAAAATGATAAAAAGTATTATTATATTAATTTATTAAACTATCATACGCAAATGGAAAGTAAAGAACAATAGTAATAAAATATACCTTCAACATTCACAAAAAAAAGTAAAGGAGCTTTTGCTTGTCACTAACTACATTATACATACAAAAATTCTTTATACAATTACATAATAGGCATTGTTTTATGAACACAAGTTTTATGTCTTAAAAATGCTATTCTATTTCAAATTAACAAGTTATTTTGATTCTTTGAACATTCTATACAACACAGAACATAATCTGTATATGGGTAAGCCAACTACAGTGAAATAATCTCCCTCCACTCTTTCCACAAACGATCCACCAACTCCTTGTATACCATAACCACCAGCTTTATCCCTAAAAAACAATAGAAACCACCATTAGTTGAATGAAATACAAAAAGTCATATAATTACTTTATAGAAGTTGATTAAAAATAGTAATCTTTTTTTACAATAATAAAATGTTACATAATATTAAAATATATTGGCATTAAAACATAACCTAGATACTTTATTTATTCTTTGTTAATTTATGTTACATAACCGGAATGAAAATGGCTGCTTTTAATTTATTATTTTTTTAAATCTCAGACACGTACTGTAATAAATGAAATAACTCAGGTAGGTACTGGACTAAATTTACATTTATAATATACCTACTTAATGAAAGTTTGACTCGAACATATATGGTTCCACTGCAAATAAATGTAACTATAGCATTGTGTTTAATGCAATTATACCTACATGGGTTCCCCTGTTGCAATGTATCCTTTTATCTGTTCATCATCAAGTTTGCCAAAGAATACATCTGTTTTTTCTGTAAACTTAGTTACTTCCTCAGATGACTTAACCACTACTCCAGTGTAAACAGTGTGAGATCTGCCCGACAACCTGGAAACACCAACAAAAAACAATAAATACATATGTACAATAACTTTCATTAGGTTAAATAAGTAATTTTTTTTTAATTATCATTGTGATTTGCCTACCTAGACAACATTTCAAATGCTTCAACTTCTGATGTAGGTTTACCGAACATTTGTCCATCAAGAGTTACCATAGTATCAGCACCTATCACTACATCTGGCCTTTGACCTTTATTGCTCAGCCGAGTTTCTACCTCCAATACTTTTTGCAAAGCCGTTTCCTCAACAAACTCAGAAACACTGTCGAAGTCCTTAAAATCTAAGTTTTCTTCAAAGAGTGATGGACACAAACCAACCTTAAGCCCCTAAAAAATTTGACGAGAGGTATAGAATACATTCGTTTAAAATATCAGCCACCCTAATTTAAAATTACACATACAATGTTTTCAATTAATTCTTTTCTTCGTGGAGAACCACTTGCTAGTGTAATGTTCTTCTGTTTCAAAATGTGCATTACAGGTTGTAACATTTTAAAAATATCTCCACTGCAAAAACAAAAATTCCTTTTTTACTATTCCGAAAACTCAAACAGAAGCACAAATATATTAATATTATTAAGACCAAAATCAATTCCCAGTTTGCCGCTTTTTTGAGAACTTTTTAATCTCTTTTTTTTTCAAAACAAAAGGTTATAGCAGCCCTGGCTTCGTCGGCCTTCAGCTTTCTTTATGTTAAGATAATGAGGAAGTATTTAAAAATAAAGAAAGCACTATTTGCTGCCAGAATGTTGTACAGAATGGGTGAGTCAGGTATTAAACGTAGATAAGCCTATAATAATATATTGTATCAACGGGGGTGGCATTGCCGCAAGGAAAAATCCCTCTTCTTAAAATTAAAAAAAAAGAAAGCACTGCAAAAGAACCTCACTAGATGGCGACTCTAGCAAAAGTTGATTTTTGCAGGAAACGAATGGATCATCATTTCCGTTACTTTTAAGTAACATATTGAAAAACTTAATTTTGCAAAGTTCGAAACTTAGATATCAATAGAAATACGAAAAAGTACAAATAGATACTAACTTGTTTATTGAATTTTGAAAATTAATGGAAGGATTGTCATGGAGAAATTAAGATAGTACTAGTACAGGCGACATCTACTTTGATTTCGGGAACAAATTTTTCTTTTAAATACTTCCTAATTCATAAATTCTCCTAATTCTTACCAGTACTACAAGTAGCGATGCAAGTTTCATAAAAATATCAGTAACTGTAACAGTCTATTTCGATATAACGCTCCACAAAGCCGATATAGATATTAATCGACATATATTTTTCTTAAAACCTTATTTAATAAAAATGAGTTTAATCACAAATATATCTATTAAAAAAACGGCCAATAATAATTGGCGGTGGCTACTGCCTGGCTTGTTCCTAGTTCGTGTGATTTTGAATCATGCACGCTTTGCTTGACAAACTCGAGAGCGTTTTGTTTGTACCAAAATATCACCTTTCCTCGGTGCACTCATGCGATATTTCACTCTTGACCTAAGAAACGTGACGTTTGGGGTAGACAACGCATTCCTCGACCATGTTATTCTTTACGTGCTGCTTTTAAAGAAAGGCGTTCAGAAGGCATGCTCCTGGTAACAATGATAAAATGACCTCATTGCCAATTCAAATAAATTACTCTTAGACTGAGAATAACACTTTATTTTGAAATAAAGTACAAAATATAATAATAAAAACTACTACAAATATCAAAGCAAAAAATCAGATAATAATTTCAAATCAAAATAACCGATGGGGGTAAGCTAATAAGTGATAAGTCTCTTAACGATAGAAACCGATGCATAAGAATACGCTTTTGCTGGAACCTTGTCTCGAAAGAATGAAAGGCCAGATGAAAGGCCAGTGGCATTTTTTAACGATCATAAAATAACGCAGAGAAAAAGCAGTCTTCTATCGAAGAAGAAGCCAATACTATTATTGAGTCTTTCCTACGCGCAAAGTAGCTCCTTTTCTAGTTGCCAAACATTTTTGGTAGTAACAGATGAAAGATCAGTATCTTTTATGTTGGACCAAAGACATAACAGCACGATCAAAAATGAGCAATAAACAATTAGAAACTACATTATTTCTATAAGGGTCATTCACAAATATTCTATAATAATATAAAGCTACACCCTGATTTCGAAAATGTGCTTCGCTTTTAGCGCGTCTGTTGTATGGGATTGATTCTCTAGTTATTAAACTCATTGTAAATTATACAGATTTTTTCTAAAATATCATAGGAAAGAACTTTTACCAGTGGCTGATGAACCTAACTTAATTTAAGAAATTTAATGGATGCAAATCATTGTGTTTTGCCTACTAAGATAGCATCCAAGTCAATTCATATAATATTGTATTAATAATAGCAGTCGGGGACAATATTGCTTTTTTCAAATTGGATTCAAGCAAAATAAAACTTAAGGTGTGGCCGTGGCTTAACGAGAAAAAAGTCTATTGTCCTTGGATCACATTAAATCATCTTATACATTGGATTTTTGGAAATATAACATATATCACACCCCAAAAAAAAGAGTTTGTGATAAAGCTGTACAGGTTCTATGGCCTGTTTCCTTCGCCTGTTCTATTTGGAAAAACCTATCAAATCTCTATGAAAACTCAAAGAAGCAAGCACCCAGAGCTGTAAAAAATAATTAAAATGAAAACTCTATGCTCATTTTTAGTTTTTGGTCGTTTTATGCCACAGTTGTGTGTCGTGAATAAACTATAAATTTGTATGCTAATCGTCATCAAAATAATACCAACAAAGGTGATGGAACGATAACTTAGCTAAAAATGAAGTCCGTCGTGGCTTACGTACGCAGTTTACTTGGTTTGTGTGATGACAATCCAGCAATTAGAACAAGTTTCAAACGCGACAGGTATGTATGACATGTTTACAACATGAACATTGTGGTCCGCTCTTTTAGTTATGGCGGCAAAGTCGCTGAAGAATCTTGTTTTTTACGTTACATATCCTAAATAATATGATTAAGATTTCTTTGAAAGCTGCCTCCAAGTTTTGGGAGTAAGTACAACACTTTGCCGACAACGTATATAATATTCTTTCTTTAACACTGCCAATCTTCTCTTTCAGGGTAGACGATGAATTCTCGTCTGACGATGATTCGCCGGCACTCAAAAAGCTTAGACACTTGAAGAGAACTAGTTTTCCTGATATAATGGATTCGAATGGTAAATAATGTCTTTGAAGTGATATTTTTAAAGTGTAATATCTAAACTAACGCATAATATTTTCTTCCAGATATTTTTGAAAAAAATGATATTAAATATAAAAACGTTAGATATGTTCCAATCCAACTGGAATCTGGCCACCCCAGTACATCAACACCCATTGAAGCTATTGGAAAAGCTGGCAGTAAAGTGCGAACAGTTCCTATAAAATTAGTTGGTCTAACTGAAAATGGACCTACAACACCTGCACGGAAGCCAAGGATGCACACCCCTGTCAAACCCGTGATACATGCTGTGATTGATGATGAAGATGATGACCAAGAGGTTACAACAATCCAATTTTTACTGTAGTGTTTTAACCTATATTAATCCTATATATAGAAGAGATTTGATTGTTTGTTTGTATTGAATAGGCTCTGAAACCACAGGACCGATTTCCAACTACATCAAACATGAGTGACATTGGCTATTATTGGGAAAAGTTAATGGAAAACAGTTAGTAATGAAATCAAATTGTTATTTATTATTAATTGTTACAGGTAACATGGGTTGAAAGTAAAAGCAATAATAAACAACCAAAAGTTTATATCAATTTAGAAGATGAAAATGACAATGAACAGCAAGAAGATGACGTGATATTCGTTAAGAAGACAACATCACCTTCTATCAAACCATACAAATTCTTTGTTACGAAAAACAATCATAATGAAGATTTTGATACAAAAGAGGATGATACTTCATATTACAGACTTACTAGGAAGTTGAATGAACGCAACTATGCCAATCTATCTCCTAAGAGTTACATCAGCAAATTTAAAACACCTGCTGGAATAACAAAAAATTATAAGAAAGCTCCAACTCCGGTACCTAGGTGGATGCAATCAACAAAATCTTTGAATCTCTCTGATAAAAGGAACAGGTTCTTAAATCTCAATGGTAACACTAGAACAACATTAAATGAGGTATTTAATTTAGATGAAAAGAGAAATTACAAAGAATTGATTAGGCGAGTGGCAAATTCTATGAAACCTATAAATCATGGGAAGCCAATAGACATAATTAATCTTGCTGAAGATGCAGCTTCATTTAGGATGACACAGAGATCACAGAAAAAGGCACTAAATGATATTAAATTGGTAGAAAAAGGTTTGGCAATCGATAAAGAAAATGAATCTACAAAAGAATATGATCCTATCACTGTTGCATCTATTAATTCATCTGACTCTGAGGTGGAAATTGTTCCATCTGAGTCATCTATGACATCATCTGTGAAAATTGATCCCGTGAACTCTTTAAGAGACTCATATAGAGACAAAGCTGTGACTGCTGGTGACTGGCTGGCGAAATTAGATACTAAATATAAAAAGAAAAAGCAAGATACTCAGGAGAAACTTCGGGATGCACGGAGGGAGTCTGATATCATATCAAAAGTAAATAGTGAACAGAAAATAGCACATTTGGAGCACAAATTAAAATATGAATTAAGTATACCGGAAAGTCTATTTGAGGAGCCTCAGCCAACAGTAGAATTACCTCCTCTGACACCTGAACAAGAGAAGTTAGTGAACAGAGCTCTTGGACCTGGACCGCCAGGACAACTGCTTGTAGAAAAATTCAATTTAAGAATACACAGGTAAATGAACATTAATATCAAAATTTGAATTTTAAGATAATATTACTATGATAAATTTGAAGTACAGTAGGATCCCGAATATATGTAATATATACATTTGTGCTGAAAAGGTAGTCCTCTGACCTAATTACTTAAACAATCGAAAGAATTAAATAATACAAACAATATGGCAAATAAATGAGAGCTGGAGAGCAATTCTGTAAAAATTCCGAACCCGAATTCACGTCATTTAGCGTAGAAATTCTATTGTTTCCATTTTTGTGTAAAAATACAAAATAAGATTGATTGATTCATGTGTCTCAAATATTTTATTCCTTTGCCATTTCAAAACTCACTTCACTTATCCACAAAACGTTATAACCAATTCAAGGTTGAGCGGATGCCGCTTTTGAAGTAAATTCGGAAACCTGAGTGAATTGAAATTCGGGATTTTTACAGAATCGCAGGACCTAAGTACACAATGGTATCGGAGGATCACAATCAAATTCGGGGATGGGAATAAACATTTCATAACGTGTCTCGTTGCATCGTGATTTTTTTTTTAAGTTGAAAATTATAGCTGAGATTAATGAGTTCTGATAATCGGAAGTTCGGATAATCGGGATTCTACTGTATTTCTTAATTATTAAATCTTATTCATGAATACTTCAATAAAAAGAAGGTTATCAAATTTTCCAACATGCATAAATTTTAAAGTTAATCAACTTTGAAAAATAAAACAAATAAAATTTTTAAAAAGCCTCAACCCTAATGTAATATATGAAGTTTCTATTCAAGTCAGGCAAGAGATTGTGTAAGTTAATATTAACCGGATAACTCTAATAGAAGTTTCTTGAATTAAAACTAATTTTTATTTATTTATTGTTATCAGATTTTACTTTAGCCTGTTGTATTTTTATCCTCAGGCGAGACCTTCAGACGTTAGCAGGCCTGAATTGGTTGAATGATGAAGTGATAAACTTCTACATGAACCTGCTGATGCAACGGTGCGAGGAGAAGTCTGATTTGCCGCGCGTATACGCGACTAACACATTCTTCTATCCAAAACTTATGCAAGGGGGTCAGGCTGGTCTGCGACGGTGGACTAGAAAGGTAATATATCTATGATATGCATCATTTTGTAGTACCTGTAAAGTAAGTCCTGTTCCAGTGCCCCACACTCAAAATTAAATATTCTAATTTACACTTCCGACCAGAAATAGAGACTCTTTGAATGAACCATAATTTATTTGTTTTTCTTGTGTTCTTTAAACTATTAATTTTATACTTTTTAGTATTTTAACATTATAGAGCTCTGATACGATATTCCATAATGGAATGTTAGTGCCTATCTTCCAGCTTCATCAGTCAGACCTTGAAACTTAATTGTGGACAAAGTTCATTACCAGACCTTTTTAACAAGTCCAAACATGGCTATGATACGATACTCTATCATGGAATGCCAGTGCCTATCTTTCGACTTCATCATCAGACCTTGAAACTCAATTGTGGACATTACCAGACCTTTTTAACAAGTCCAAACATGGCTATGATACGATACTCCATCATGGAATGCCAGTGCCTATCTTCCAGCTTCATCATCAGACCTTGAAACTCAATTGTGGACAAAGTTCATTACCAGACCTTTTTAACAAGTCCAAACATGGCTATAATACTATATTCCAGCATGGAATGCCAGTGCCTATCTTCCAGCTTAATCATCAGAGCTTGAAATATTGTCATCAGAACTATATACAGGTGCCAATAAGTATTGTCATCAGAACTATATACAGGTGCCTATTTTCATGACACTACGCTCCTTGGAAATGGTTAAATTAATTACCTTAGATTCCAGTGTGTTAAAATATATCGCTCACTGAATACAACAGTGGCACAACTCAAAAACCATTATTTCGAGAAAACGCCACAACATTGTGGTGGCATCCCATAGATAATTTAAAGAAAAAATAAAAAACTTAACAGTAATAATATAATACAAACGATTTAACTGTTATGCTAAAAAAAAGATTTTCATAATTATAAATATATTTTTCATAACTTCGGAGAGCGTTTCTCGAAATATGGTTTTTGAGTTGTGCCACTGTAGTATTCAGTGAGCGATATGTAAAAATGCAATAATATTTAGGAATACCACCACTTAGGACCATTTCATTGTGGTGCAATATGCCTTCATTTGCCTTAATTTAGGAATAAGGTCACCTATAAAGGTGAGAAATCATCTATACTAATATAATAAAGAGATACCTCTTTCATTGGTGAAATTTCACCGTTTATTTGTTTGCGTTGAAAAGGCTTCAAAGCTACTAAACCGATTTTGAAAATACTTTCATCTGCAGGACGCTCAATCCACAGGTGACACAGACTATAATTTACGAGAGCAAAGTCGCGGAAAACTATCAGTTATCATTTATTTACATCCCCAATAGGGTACTTTACCAATTTTTGAAAAGTGTCTCATTTCGTTCATAAAGTCTTAATAAATCACTGAAAAAAAGCATAATTTTTATTCAGTCTATAAGTGCCAATAATACCATATCAAAATTTCACATTTTTAAATTTCGTGCTCTGTGGTAGTGATGTCAGTTTGTGTTGTAAACAATTTTCCAACCATCAAAGAATTTATTATTGGTAAATTGGGTAAATTTTAACTCCCTTTACAAAACCGTCTTCATTTTGATTAAAATAACTTATAAACGTGTTGATCTTAGTTGAAGTTTCTTGCTTATTTCTATATAAACATTGGCCTTGGTCAATATTTACAAGACCGAATGACGTCATGGCGGCTACTGTGTCGGTATTTCTCTTAGAGTATGTTCCGATATACACTGCGAGCACTGCGCAGTGGTCTTACTGCTGAAAAATCCCTTCCGTTATGGACTGCCAGTACACTGCTACAGTACCCTAGGGAAATTTATGACGTCATTAATTGCCGCCATATTTGTACTGTGAGCACTGGAGATTTCGAGGTAAGGTGCTCGCAGTGCTTTTGATCACGTGATCAGTCGAAACAGAATCAGAAAATGATAAGTTTCTAAATAAACAAAAAAAAATACTCACGTTTATTTATAAGATGGATTTAATTGATAAATATTTTTTTTTATACAATTTTCCAATTTTATAATATTTTCTTTTGAAAAGAGGGACTCTTTATATTTATATTCACCTTGCATTAACAAATTTGAAAATGGCGTCAAAAAATAGGATTAACAGTATACTGGACTGCGTTCCGTTTTAAAAAGTCACCTGTATAATTAGCTATAAAGGAACGGGTTTCCAGTATACTAAATTGACGTCATACTGTTCAGTGGTCGCAGTGTATGGGCGCTTGTGCACTACACTGAATTTTCAGGTCCGGCGGTCCGATTTTTTCAGGTCCGATATGTCAGGCCATATGTAGGTAATGCGCGCTTGTGCACTGTCAGGAATTTTACCGTCCGGAATTTTACTTTTCTCTATTCCGGACCGGTTTTTTCAGTTCCGTGATGGCGGCAATGAAAAACGTGTTTACGCTTGTGCACTGCTGTGTCCGAGATCCGGAAAATTCATAAGGAATAGGCTTGGGAAAAAATGATCGATTTGAATCGATATTTATTTCGGCAATATTGTTAATTTCCAATAAACTTATAATCGATATTTATTGTTGATTATAAAATGCTATATTTTATATGATGATTCAATATAGTTGGTATATATCACTGCATATGCTTTACTACTCGGTAAAGTTCTAATTTGATCAGCGTATGGTTCTAGTATCGATACTTAGCTAGATTTTAGAATCGTATTAAAAGTATCGATAGCTTAAGGTAAGATAAATAAGTGTTGTTACGCTTAGGCGCCTAAACAACTGAACCCATCTAAATGGAAATTAATATAGTAAATAGACTTAACTTTAAGAAAGGACATAGACTACATTTTATCGCGAAAAATAGGGGATGAAAGTTTGCCTAGAAATTTGTTATTATCAATTTTTTTTAAACAATTGATAAGTATAGATAAATATTTGACAACAGAAGTAATAATAAAGAATAAATAGAAGATTTACAAAAGTAATTAAGTGACACTCGATGTCTTTTTCGCATTTAATAAAAATTTTAATGTATGTCTGTGTCATTAATAAATTTTAAAAAAGAAGTATTCTAAGGGAAAAATATTTCTGCTCAAAGAAACTACACCACGCGTATAAAAATTATGCCTATATATAATACAGTCAACTGATCTCGTAAAGTTCATTTATCATAATAATTCTCCGCTAACACGGCACTAATTTCGATTTGTTTACGAAATGGATTCTATCTCTGTAATCGCTGAAAGTTGTTTTTACAAAACGCGCACGTTTAAAAATTTAAACATTAAGTACTAGACCATTATCAGTAATTTTATTCTAATGTCACAGATATTTTTAGCTATTGTATGTGAATAATGCTGTTCCTAAATTTGTAAGGGTATAAGTTTTTACATCTGATAGTAGTCATCCGATACTAGTAAAAAAAACGCTTTCGTCTTGCCATAATTTATTATGGTTTATGTAAAACGATCAGATCATTATTTAGGTACCTTTCTACGTCTTCGAACGGAATTACCGACGTTCCAAAAATCTCATCGTACCTAGCGTAAGTGACGTGTAGCTTCAAAGAAAGCTGCACTACACTGTGCCGCTCCGATCAGGAAAAAAACGGACAAGTGCACAAGCTACTCATCCGAGTTTTTCATGTTATTCCGGACCGGAAAAAATCGGACCGCCGGACCTGAAAATTCAGTGTAGTGCACAAGCGCCCTATATCGGAACGTACCCTTTGTAAAATCACAGACTAAATATTTGAAAATTTTAAACTTCACATTAAAAATTAATTTCTTAACTTTATGGACTGAAAGTAACATTTTCCGACTGCTTATTGCCTAAGCTTTCTGAATAGTATCATTTTAGTTTTTTTTTCATATGGTGTAAAATGCCCTATTCTCTTGTCATCAAGTAATGATAATGGTTGAGAGAACAAAATCTCAATTGATTATTGGCAATAACTCAAGTTTTTTACTTTTCACAGGGCAAAAAGTCCTAGTTTTTATCAAACCGCTATCAAGTAACCATAAAAAAACTAAAATCAGAAACGAAAACCTTTTTAAATACAGTTTGAGACGCGCTTAATTTTATATACTTAATTCATAATTACAGTATTAGAAGCAGAGTGTTAAGTTATTTATCTACTATTTAAAGGTGGACATATTCGCGCACGACTTGATGGTAGTACCAGTACACTTGGGAGTGCATTGGTGCTTAAGCATAGTGGATTTCCGAGCCAAAAAGATCTCTTACCTGGACAGCATGGGCGGTCGCAACCAAGCCTGCCTAGATGCACTTCTACAATACTTACGCGATGAACATAAAGACAAGAAGGGGCAACCCTTCGATGACAGCGGATGGAGTACAGAAATACTTAAAGTGAGTTGATTATTATTATTATATTTCTCCAAAAAAGAAAATAGAGCTTTATATTTTTAAATATATCAAAAGTTTTTATTATAAATAACGATGAAACGGATATCCGGTATCCGACCGAATATCTTTTAGTAAAATTCAATGTATACTCATTATTTTACACAAGGTAAATTTCACCGCAATAGATTATAGAAATAAGTTAAATTCTCAAAATTAACAAAAAAAAAATTTGTGACGAATGAATACCAAATTTTTAAATGTAAGAGGCAACTTTTGGCTTCGTATAACAGACTAGCTTCTAAAAAAAACTTTCACTATAAACAATACTGTCAGATAAATTCTTTTAAGTAAAGAAACATAACTTCGAACAAACTTTGATAACTGCGAATACCGATTCAAAATCATTATAAGAAAAAAATGTATCTCGTTAGCGATTGGATTTTTTTCTTGATTGCGAAAATCACTTCTATTATCCTTTTCCACTTCATAGAAACAAATTCCAGAAGGTGTCATGAGCTTCACATGGGAAGTTGGATCCAGTTTCATTTTTGAAAAGCTCCGTATATTAAATCAAATGATAGCTTCATGTTATGCGATAAAAGGCCGAATATCCGTTTCATTTGCTTTTCGCATTCATAAATCATAATGCAATACTGAAAAATATTCTTAATACAAAATGCTTAAAAAATCCGCTTGGTCCCTGGCACTCTGAGATAGGATTTTCATCTTTATCGAAAGTTTGAATATTTGTAAAAATATTTCTTTCCGCTGTTTGGGTGGATTGCCTGAACATTGATGAGTAGACGCTCTGTAGTAGCAAAAAAGTAACAAGTGCTTGAAAGATTCGTCAATCCTGTTCCTGGTCCTGGGTAACTCTGTGATAGAGCAGTCGCCCGGATAGCGAAACAGCATGGGTTCGAATCCCATCTCAGGATGCCAGGGACAAAATCGATTTTTTAAGAATTTTTAATATTTAAATTTTACGTTTTTACTACCAAAAAAGTGCGATTCCATTAATTGCCGTCAGTGTTAAGTAAAGCATGATTGTATGAAGAGTATGATACGACCAATTTCTCCAGGACATCCCTCAACAAATGAACGGCAGCGACTGCGGCATGTTCGCGTGCACGTTCGCCGAATTTTCCTCGCGCGGCGTTCCGTACACGTTCGGTCAGGCGCACATGCCGTATCTACGGCGGAAGGCCGCGCTAGAGATACTCACCGGCCGATTACTGCTTTAAATTGACATTACCTTTGAATTTGCAACACATTGCAAGGAAAAGCATCGAGTTGCAATCGAATTCGGATCGAGAACAAATATTAGTAAAATGCCAATTGAATGAGACCCCAACGAGCGGCGCAGTGGTTACAATTGTCATATCAATTCTTCAATTTATTGTATTTTTTTGTATGTTAAAACTGATGTTATTTGGGGATTTAACAGGTATAAAATAAAGTAAGTCCTAAATCCTGGTTCAGCGCTCGCTTACATCCATTTAAGGAGCTTAGATGACGCTGCATAAATATGACACTTAACATTTATGGTAGATACTATATAATTCGATTGGAACTCGATGATTTTTCAGTTTCGTTTGAACCGGTCATGACCACTACCACTGGTTTCTAACTTTCACTACACTGACTTTCCCAAAAAGATTTCATTCACTGTTTTAAAAATGTATTATGTGCATATATAATAAATTTAAAATTTTAAGTGTAACGTTTGGTAAGTGTAACTCTTGTAATTATTGAGTTCTTGTGCTAATGATTATCCAGTATGGTTGTTGATTATGCCTTCGTTACTAAATGCTGAGACATTTGGCCAAATTAATTGATTATTTAAAACACAAACTGTTTTTCTCTAATTAACTATGATTTTGTTCATAAATTAATGTAATTATGATATTATAAATGACTCGGTAATAAGAAGCAACTGTATGTTCTCCTCAATCTATTACCTTACTGTAAATGTCATATATCATAGATTTAAGTAATATGCCGCTGCGGTTAAAGTTTTTTGGGAAAGTTTGATATAAGGTAGTTAAGAGACAATGACGATGGGGAGTTATAACAGTGGACTATGATTGTAATTATTGTGATTCTTTTACCCGTAAGATAAATGTGTTCTGGTAGTCTCGTTGTTTAAAGGTCAAAATTTGGAAATTGAATACATTTTATAACTATAAATATTGAATATTTAATGTTCAGATTGTTTTGGCCAAGAATGAAACCACTTCAGTCATATCATATACTTTTTTTGGTAAAGATGGTATATTACAAATGTGACAGGAAAGATTTGACAGATAGTAAAAAAAAATCAATTGATCAAAAACCTCTTCCTTTTTTTTAAATCTATCATTAAGATAAAAAGTAACTTTTCTTCAACCAAACCTACTTTAATTCAAGAAGAGTACCAGGACACTTACCGACACCTGTAAATGCTGAATGTGGGTGCGAACAAAATTTGAATTACATTTAGTTTTAAATAGATGCATACATTTCGCCCGCGCTGTCATTGTACCATCTTTAATTTTTGAAAATTAAAATTATATTTATAATAAGTACCTACTAATGATTTGTACATAATAAACGCATACGATAAGAACAGTTATATTCTTCCAGTAGTGAAAACTATAATCCATTAAGTTAATAATTACCTGTTACATTTTGTGCATCGTTTGTAGGAAAATTTGCGAATCTACTCCAAGAGTGATTTAGGGTATTTAATGTCTCACTTAATATTAACTATGTGTCTGAGCAGAAACATTGCAGTTTTTCATTTACCTTTATTTAATGAACAAGCCGAAATAACTTAATTGTACCTATGCTAATATAAAAATAAGTGCCGGCATTTGATTATGAGTCTTAGAAATAAATATTTTATTTATATGTATAAATCGAAAGCATCATTTATATCGGTGGTAATGAATCCATGACAAACGGGCAAGTAAAATACTACAGTTATTTTTAGATATTTGGAACTTTATATATGATTTATCAATGCTATAGAACAGATTCGATATTATTAGCTTTCGTTGCGGTTATATTATTGCTTGATTAATTATATTGTCTGTAAATAGTAATGGTAAAAGCAAACTCGACGACGCAAAAATGAATCTTAAAAAAGGGGCTGGCACTCTAAATATTGAGCCAGAAATTATATCATATTAATATAGACAAGAGATATGTTACTTGTAAAAGGATTATATAGAAGGATCGCATTCGGAATGTATTATACGCAGTTAGTGTGGGGCCACACTATGTGATTACGGCGCGGTGCGGTGCCGGCCAACGTCGTGCCGTCGCGGCAGTGCCGCAGCGGTGCACAGTAACCCGTCGTGTGGCTGCACACTTAGGCTGAATTTACTTTACGTACATATTGTCCTTAGTTTCATATCATTAAATTCGATAGCAGGTTCACGTGTAAACGTTCACTTTCTCAATGCGTGTATTAGTTTCACGACACTAGAGTAGTTTCGTGTCATACGCATATTTATGATTAAAGATGATAAAGTTGCGTGACACTAGCAACTAAGTTCAACATGAATTACATGGCGAAACTAGATTGCATGCCGTTAAGTTACATGTACAGAAATTCAGAACCCGCTGTCGTACAGAACCGCCAATTGTTAAAGCGAGAATGATAGCCAGACCTGGATCTACATTTCTAACCGGGGCAGAAACTTCATATGGTGACCTCCCCACCCTCCACCTCCCACCATTTTGGTGCCCCCTGAATCAGGCGCCCGGGGCAAGGGCCGCTCTTGACAACCAAATCCCTCCCTAAATCCGGCCCTGAACATAGCGAGTGGGCAGAATCCGATAGGCAACACGTTATCTTTCCCGTTCTAGTAATTTGAGAAGTCGCTTAGAAAAGCGATAGAAAAAAATCAAAGACAGAAAGAAAAAGCTAGCTCAAACCTAATACTGCAGATTTACGTTGCAATGCAACCAGCCAATACAACACAGTTGAGCGTGATTTTTAATTTGTTATGGTTGTGATTTGAACTATATTGCAGTTCGAATACATTCTTGTATTGCCCTAAATCCAAAAACCTATTTATAAGGCTATTAAATAAACATTTCTATTGATTTAAAGTATCACATCCGCAAACTAACTGGTATGCGTTAAATAAGTACTTTAGTTAATTTATCAGCTTGTGATTGAGGGTCTTAAGAGTGAGAGGGAGATATGTTTTGTATACGATGTGTGATGTCTGTTGTATAAAATAAGATTGCGCCTGAGCAAGATCAGTCGCAAAACGTATGTAAGGTTTGTCACGGGTCATTAAACCTGTGGTGATGAATTGAAAGTATTTCATTTTGTATAGATATGTATCATTCCGTGATTCAGTTAATTATAATAAGTAGATTAATGATGAAAAGTGTTTTCTATTAACATTCTTTTAAACAAATCTTCATTTTTACGTGGATATTGTTTTCTTATCTCTCATCTTTGTTATGAGTTGCACCGTACATTTTCGACAGCTCCTAGTCTACATAGAGTATAAATAAAAATAGACAGTAATATAATGTAATAGGTACATGTAGTTATTGGACTGTCTTGTCTTTTTGTCATGGACGACAACTAGTAAACGTTGATTAATGTAATTTATATTACTATTAAGTTGCACTAACTTAACGTATAATTTGGAATTGTTTGTTTTTACCTGTTAAAGTCTCCTAAACAGTTTTATAAGTAATGGAATAAATAATAAAACCATAAGGAATCGACACTCGTTTTATTTGAACCAAACATTGGGACAATAATTTTGATTTACAACCGCAAAAATAGAACTTTAAAACGACTCGTGTTATCTGTTCAATGTGTGTTTTATGAGTCTGTGTTAACTCTGATCAGTCGCAATTTGTTGTCTTCTAGCAGCGCGATCCCTGAATCATTGTTTCCTCCGCAATAATGATACGAAGAGAACACTGATATTAATTTGCCACGCAGTTGACACTGTAACAGTTTGAGAGTTGTTGAGAGAGTTATTTAAACTGGTATAACAAATAATAGAATATGGCTGCCCGT